CCCCTCCCCCCAGCCTTCTGCAATTCTTCCAGGTTAGTTTTCATTTGAGGACACTAGTTCTGAAAGAATCTCTCTCCAGGGTAATTTCCTGACCAATTGAAAGCCTTCAGATGGAGAGCTGTTGGGAAACGTGTGTGGTGATAAAAAGAAAACGTTCCCTCGGGTTTTTGGAGGGAATAACTTTAAAATAGTTTCATTGCTAAGTTTACTTGGTGCAGTTAGGAATTAAACTTGACTGGAATGAGGAGGCAACTCAGCAGTTAAAGTATTGCCAAACAACTATGAGGCCCTGAGGTAAGACCCCTAGAGGTCATGCTGACCCTCCTACGACTCCAACATTTGGAAGGTGGAAACAGATCCCTGGAGCAAGCTGTGTAGCCAGACTAGCAGTATCTGGGGCTCTGGGTTCACCTAAGCGACCCTGCCTCAATGACGAAGGTGGAGAGTGACTGAGGAAGACCACATATGTAAGCAAAAGCATGTGCACCCTCACACACGTGCTTATGCATGTGAACAGGCATGCAAGCACCCTCCATATACATACACACGAGAAAAAGTTTAAAAAGTTATCAGTTTTAATATTGTTGCTATATCTTCAGTAAATATATGCAGCATTCTTGTTTTTTAAAAATGTGCAACTTGCTGCCAAGACAGAGGACATGGCTTGATCTCTGGGACCAACATGGCAGAAGGAAAGAATTGACTCCTATAAGTTGCCTTCTGATTTCATTTACACACAACACAGGAATGGATAAACAGATGTAAACAAAGTTTAAGTAAAACTGAAGCCAGTCATGGTGGCCCCAACTGAACACTTCAGAAGAGGCAGAAGGATCAGGAATACAGTGTTATCCTCAACTACAAAATGAGACCACCCTGTTTAGAAAAGAAAAAGAAAAAACCAAGGAGGAGTAAAATGACTTTTGTTAGTTTATAGGTAACTTATAGGTTTTTAATTAATGTACTCTTAGTTAATGGTCCATCAGAAAATTTTATTATTTTTTTCTGGGAGTCTTTTTTTAATTTTTTGTTTTTTTGAGTCAGGGTTTTACTGTATAACTGTCTTGGATGTCTTGGAACTCACTCTGTAGACCACGTTGGCCTCTAACTCACAGAGATCCGCTTGCCTCTGCCTCACAAGTGCTGGGATTAAAGGCGTGCGCCACCGCTGTCTGACTTCTGGAAGTTTTATAAAAGAAGACTTTGTAAAATGTTTTATAGGATAATGATATTAAAATGAAACCAATTTTAAAAACTATTCTATTATGAAATTCTTGTAAATATACAAAAAGTAAAGAAAGCAGGAGTAGCATGACAACATCGTGTGTGTCCCCACCCACTTCAGAAACTGTCCTGTGGTATGTCCTGATTGTGACCCCACCTGCCTGCCTCAGGGGGGTTGGCTGAGTCCCATAAAGTGGAATACTTTTACACCAAGTGTCCCTAAAGAAGAGGCCTTCTTAGATACTAAGTAAAAATTAGTATTCAAAATTCCCCAATCTTCTTGCATTTTTACAGTTTGAATAATGATCTAGCAAGATCTGTATCTTGAATTTTGTTTGTATTTCAATTTTCACAAATACATAGATTTTTTTCTATATTTTCATATATCTTTTTAAAAGAAACTGTTTGTCCTACAAATTGTTCTTTGGTATATATTTTACTGAATTTGAATTGATAGAATGATATATTTTTCTGTGACATCCTAAATAAACTGTCAGTGAGAAGAAAAATCTGTTTTTAAAAGTAGAATGCATTGTAAATTGACCTTCCTGTTTCTAGGGGATGCTTTTGCTGTGGTTTTGTGTGTTTGTTTGCTTGACAAATGGCAATGTTCACATGAGGGAAACATTCAGCTCCTATTATTGGCTTCTACCACTGTTTAACATTCACTGTCCACACTTACAAGGAGCACTTCCACATAAAACCCAGAATTTGGGCTGGTTTTGGCAATGGTGAATGCCTTTAATCCTAGCACTCAGGAGGCAGAGGCAGGCAAATCTCTGAGTTCAAGGCCAGCCTGGTCTACTCTAACTCACAGAGTAGAGTAGAGTAGAGTAGAGTAGAGTAGAGTAGAGTAAGTTCCAGGAGAGCCAGGGATGTTACACAGGAAAGCCTGTCTTGAAAAGAAGAAGAAGAAGAAGAAGAAGAAGAAGAAGAAGAAGAAGAAGAAGAAGAAGAAGAAGAAGAAGAAGAAGAAGCAGCAGCAGCAGCAGCACTTCCACATAAAATCCAGTATTTGGCTAGGCAGTGGCAGTGCACGTCTTTAATCCCAGCACTGGGGAGGTAGAGGCAGGTAGATCTCTAAGTTTGAGACAAGCCTGGTCTACAGAGCGAGTGAGTGCCAGGACAGCCAGGGCTACACAGAGAAACCCTATCTCGAAAAACCAAAAAACAAACAAACAAAAAAACAAAACCCAAAACACACAACAACAACAAAACCAAAACCAAGATTTGTTTTTTAAATCATAGTGACCCCATGCACCCAAATGGCCCGCAATCCAATGAGTTTAAGAAGTGGCATGATCAGGGCTGGAGAGATGGCTCAGAGGTTAAGAGCACTGACTGCTCTTCCAGGGGTCCTGAGTTCAATTCCCAACAACCACATGGTGGCTCACAACCATCCGTTATGAGGTCTGGTGCCCTCTTCTGGTGTGCAGATATACATGGAAGCAGAATGTTGTATACATAATAAATAAATAAAATCTTTAAAAAAAAAAAGAAGAAGAAGTGGCATGATCAGATATGGTGAGGCTCTGAGCTCACCTGGGTTTCCCTCTAGACTCCCACCTGGGCGTTAGCATGCTACTTATGTGATGGGCTCTCTTGTGTCCACCCCACTCCCTTGTAGATGCTGCCTACCCTGTGGGTGTTTGAATTCTCAAAATGACCAGAGACAGGGTAGTCATCAGTGACACTTCCCGAGTCACTGGGCTAAGGCATATGATGTATCAGAGAAGAAATTCTTTTTTGGAATTAAATCAATGAATGGTCTTGCTTGCTTTTTGCACTTGGGATACAAGAGTCACACCTCAAAATGCATCATTTAATAAGAAGTCCCTTCAAACCAGTATTTGATCAAAATATATAACAAGCAGAAAAAATAGTGCATGAGAGTCACCATGTAATTGAGATAAGAATTCAGACATCCCTAATCATTCTGGAGAAAGCAAATTGCACAAAAGACAAAAAATAAAGACAGAATAACCCATCTGCATCTCTCCAGAAAACCTTGCTGGAGTCTGCGGTTCTGCTGGCAGTGTTGCTGCTGCTCCAGCCACAGAGCACAGTTTGTTATCTATGGTGCTTGCTTCTTGTTGCTGCTGTCTTCGTCACAGTTGGGCTCATGAACAGAAGGAGTGGAGGATGACTGCTCAGATACTTCTTCAGAATTTTCCTCATCCATGGTCATGATCTTTTGCCTATAAAAAAGGACAGTGCATCACCATAATCTCAAAGAGTAGATGGGACGCAGGATGTTTGCTGGTGTCGGAGAAATGTGGTTTTCTTCCTGCCTGAGGAAGCAGTCTCTCTCATCACTGCAGTTGCTTTAAATTTGGTGAAATGTGGAGTATGGGTGATCATACTCCCCCTGGAAATTGATGCAATCGGAACTAACTTATCTTCTATGTTGGTGGGTTTAAGAGGCCTCTTCAGGGCCTGGAGAGATGGGTCAGTCATTAAGAACACTGACTGCTTTTCCAGAGGACCCAGGTTCAATTCCCAGTACCCACATGGTATCCTACCATTGTCTAACTCCAGTTCCAGGGGATCTAACACCCTCACACCAATGCATTTTAAATAAAATTTAAAATAAAATTGTGTGTGTGTGTGTGTGTGTGTGTGTGTGTGTGTGTGTGTGTGTGTGAATGTGTGTGTGTGTGTATCCAGAGACACAATACACTCTAAATAAAATATATAATTAAAAAAAAAAGAAGCCCCTTCAGAGAACAGTGGCTCTGATAGGCAGCTGGTCTCAACAGGAAACAGAAGTGCCAAATTTAAGAGTTCAAACTCTTCAAAACAAGCCTTAGTCACAGGACAAAGCGGCTCAGAGATCCAAAGGCAAATTTCCCGTGTTTTACGCAAAAACAGACTAAAGGGAGAGAATCTAGATACACCATAGACAGACACACTGCCCACCTCAGACTAACAGTCTACCTCCATGGTAAGTGTGTGTCCAGGCCCAGTTCCATGCCTCCTCCTAAATGATCAGGACTGTGACATCGCCAGGAGACCTGGTTTGTCTTGACTGAGTCCTCATGTGGACACCCTACCACTCACTCTGGGAGGTGACTCAGCCATGGCCTCCTGAGCATAGGTACCCGTACCTGAGGAAGTTGTTTTCTTCTGTCAGGGTCTGTATGGTGTGCCTATACTTTTCTTCAGTCTCATTGAGTTTCGTCTGGAACAGCTTCTCCAGATTTCCCACTGCAGTTTTCTAAAAGATAAATTTAAGCAGCTGTCTTCTCCCAGAGCCCGTGGGCCGAGGCTCTTGGGCAGAACAGCACAGTGTTCTGTCTTCAGCCCAGTCTCCCCTCTGTCCAGGACTCACCTCTCTTTGGAGCTCCAGCTGGCAGTGGTAAAGGTTCGTGTTAAGTGTCTCCAGAATGACAGCCTGTGCCCGCAACTCAGCCTCCAAGATCTGCACGAGAGGAAACTGCCTCAGGATGCCTTGCTGATGTGATGTCCTTGAGGCAGGAGAGGTCGGTTTCCCTTTCTGGGACACTTGGAATAGAACAAAGTCTGCCAACTTCAGCTACTTCCTCTTGTACCACTTACAGCCTACCAGTCACCATGCTGTCATTTCTATCCTGCATCTTGCTCTTGAGACTCACTGTCACTGCTGCCAAAGCAGCCCTCATCAGAGTGCCAGTGGCTAGTCACAGGGTCACCAGCCACGCATTCATTCATGGTCCTTTTATTTTCATCTATCTATCTATCTATCTATCTATCTATCTATCTATCTTGGTTTTTCAAGACAAGGTTTCTCTGTAACCTTGGCTGTTGTGGAACTGTAGACCACCTTGGCCTCAAACTCAGAGATCCACCTGCCTCTGCCTCCTGAGTGCTGGGATTAAAGGCGTGAGCCGCCACCACCTGGCTAAAGATTTATTTTTAAAATGTAATAGTTTTATTAACTTTTGAGAATTTCATACATGCATTGTAATGCATCTGATCATATTAATTTCCCACTTCTCCCCTAACTTGATCCACATCTGCCCAACTTTGTGCTCTCTCTCTCTCTCTCTCTCTCTCTCTCTCTCTCTCTCTCTCTGTTTTTTGTTTGTTTGTTTTTTGAGACAGGGTTTCTCTGTGGCTTTGGGGCCTATCCTGGAACTCGCTTTGTAGACCAGGCTGGCCTCAAACTCACAGAGATCCTCCTGCCTCTGCCTCCCAAGTGCTTTGTGTTCCCTTTTAAAATGTAATATTATTTAATTTTTATTGTCCTGTGTGCACACATGCCCAGAAGACAATGTCCCTGTCTTTCTGCTCTCTACACACACTCTGTCATTATGTCAGGTGTTGGGATACCATCTCTCCTGGTCCACATTCTAAGATGCAGAGATAACTATCTGTATCCAAATATTAAATAGCATACTGCAACCCTTGCTGGCCTATTGCCTAAGTGCACCCATCCCCAACGGGGCTAATGAATGGTTCTTTCCTCCAAAGGAATGATATCATACTTATATTTGATCATAAATATATCTTTTTCTGCCTGTCACGGTGATGCAAGCCTTTAATCCCAGCACTCAGGAGGCAGAGGCAGGTGGATCTCTGTAAGTTCGAGACCAGCCTGGTCTACAGAGTAAGTTCTAGGACAGGCTCCAAAACTACAGAGAAGCCCTGTCTCAAAAAAAAAAAAAAAATTAATGGGAAAGAAAACATTCAAAAATCCTCCCTTCGCTGAATTTATCTGCTTAGGTGATTATAAATTTATGCAGAAAAGCAAAACAAAGAAAAAGAAGTGTTGGGGCAAAGAGCTGAGCCTTTAAATAGTGACTCCCGAGAGGCTGTCATTTGAGTAAAACCAGAAGAGGGGGAAAAGTTTGCGATGGAAATCTCTGGGAAAGAGATGTCTAGGAAGACACACTATCAAAGCAAATACCCCCAAGGCAGGAACACTCTGTCCCTTTAAAGAACCAAGAAGAGCTTCAGTAACTGTGGGGTGGAGTGACAGAGGCGGAAATAAAGGGGATGAGTTGATGAAGAGAAGGCAGGAGGTGGAACAAACCCTCAGATGACACAGGGCTGAGAGTAATTCACAGACCCACCAGCCAGGCTGAGGACTCTCAGAAGGGGTTGCTTTACACTAAGCTTTAATTCCCACTAGCAAGACTTGAAAAGATCAGACTGTTTCCAAATCATGTAACTGCATCCTGGAACAAGGTTTGTGAGCATTTAAAACTTTAAAATTTAAAGAAATATAGACATATCCAGTACCCAACAAGGTAAGTGTGGTGGTGTGAAAGAAAATGGCCTCCAAAGGGAGAGTGGCTTTATTAGGAGGCGTGGCCTTGTTGGAGGAAGTATGTCACAGTGGAAGTGGACTTTGGGGTCTCATATATGCTCATGCCACACCCAATGAGACAGACCACTTCCTGTTTCGTGCGTGATACAGGACTCTCATCTACTTCTCCAGCACAATGTCTGCCTGCATGCCACCATGTCCCACCGTGATGATAATGGAATAAACCTCTGAACTGTAAGTCAGCCCCAATTAGATGTTTTCTTTTGTAAGAGTTGCTGTAATCATGGTGTCTCTTCACAGCAATAGAAACCCTAAGGCAGTAAGCTACACTATGACCAGCACCTATTAAAAACTCAGCAGGCTTGCAAACAAAATAAATCAGAATGGAAACAGACTCACATATTATACCTATAGTAGAATTAATAGAGAATCTCAAAAGAGCTGCTCTCAGAACACAAGAGAACTCCCTAGGTCTGAGGCTGCCTCCTGTACTTGTAGGATGGTGCAGTTTGTTTGGCCCTTACATTGCTGGCCCTGCCTGGGCTTGAAGATAAGATTTCTTCATGATGTCTGTGCAGTGACTAATCTTTTTCTCAGGCATGTCTATTCTGGATACAAATTAAATTTTCAGAGAAAAGGGAAACACAAGTTACTTTTATTTAACAGATTTTTTTCATCTGCCTTCACAAATGGCCTTGTGTGTCTCAGCAGAAAGGAACCCTGCAGAAACTGTCATGTGTAGGGTACACCCAAAAAGAGGGGCTTAGGGACAAGGTTCTGCAGGAGATATTTGGAAGATTCAGGTTCAAAGGGAAGAACATGATGTTTTGTAACTCAAAGTCCTGTGTTTTCAGCTTTGCTAGACACAGAAGTTATTCAACATTGATAACCACACAGTAGCTTGCTGATGTATTTATTCACAGCTGGCTCCAAGAAAGGCTGCATGTGTTTTACATACAGTCCAAGATTTATTTTGACTTATTGAGTCCAACACTTAGATTTAGGTGCTCCACTAATTTTACTAGTTTGGGTAAATTTGCATTTCATTTTCCCGAGAGTATATCATTTGCAAGACACTAGTTTCATAGCAATGCTTACCTCCTTGGATCTCTTCAGCTCCTCCATTTTCAAGATATCTTCATTATGTTGTTTGATGAGCTCCTAAAAACAATTTTATCTGGAAAGGTCAGTACTATGGTTTTGGATATTCTTTTAGAGAATTAAGAAGCCACTGGAGAATTTGGGACTATAACACTCACTGAATCTAGGTGTTATCAATGGAGATGGGGAATTTTTTTAAATCATTTTTTAATTTGAATTAGAAACAAGATTGTTTTACATGACAATCCCAGTTCCCTTCTCCCTCCCGTCCTCCCCCACCCCCCAACTAAAACCCTACCTATCACATATCTTTTCTTCTATTCTGCTCCCTCATGACCTCTGCATCCTTCCTCTTCTTCCCTTCTCATTCTCATAGCTCCCTCCCCCCTCTTCCCATGCTCTCAGTTTGCTTAGGGGATCTTGGTCCTTTCCCCTGGAGATGGGCATTTTTAAGTAATATAATGACTATCTTATTTAACTTCATCATATATATACATATATTTATAAGATGACACACACATATATGACAAACTCTAAAATTTACACAGAAATGCAAAATGATGAAGAAAAGTAAAGCTCATCTTGGAAAATAATACCAAAGCTAATTAATAAATAAAATGAAATAACAGGAGGAAAAACAAAACAAAAAAGCAAAGTCAGACTATCTGTACTAACTGGCTCTAAATAGCACCAAGACAACGCATTGTTGGCTTGAGTGTAGACAAATGATTAAGTGGTTAAGCAGAGTGGGAAAGAGAATCTTGTCCTTCACTCCAAGGACATCAAGACAACTCAGTGAGAAAGGAAAATTTCTCTTTTCAGAAATGACAATGGAATAATTGTATATTCATATAGAAAAATGACCTATGATCTCTGCATCATTCAATACACACACAAATTATTCAACATGGATCATAGAATCAGAAATGCTAAAATTATAAAGTTTCTCAAAAGAGAATATATTCATGGCCTTATGATAGGCAACCATGTTACAGGGAAGACAGAAAAAGGTTTGAATTATAAAAAGAAAAGTTTGACAACTTGTCTTGCATCAAAATTAGAAATTTTTTGCTCATTGAAAGATAACATTTGCAAAATGAAAAAGCAAACCCACAGGCTGGAAGTTATTCTTTGCAACATGTATACACAATATTTGAATCTATATCTTTTTTTTTTTTGAGACAGGGTTTCTCTGTATAACTTTGCAGACCAGGCGGGCCTGGAACTCACAGAGATCTGACTGCCTCTGCCTCCTGAGTGCTGGGATTAAAGGCGTAGGCCACCACAGTTAAATGATAGAAGAGTCAAACAGATACATCAAAGATAGTGAGATGTCAGTGCTACACTCTCCCATCTGGAAAAACTGGCCAATGTGTTTAGTCATTAGAGAAACTACAGATGGTGAAATGCCACTTCACACCCACTAGAATGTCCTTAATTAAAGACAGAATGCACTAGCTGTGGAGGATTTAGTCCAGTCGGAATACACATTATTTAAGGTCTGAGAGTAAACAAGACTTCTGCCATGGAAAGCACGAATTTCCTATGTGTACCCTGGAGCTCCAGTAGCACTTCAAGATAAGTAAGAGCTAATGTCTATGAAACCCATATCTATGTTCATAGACACTTTGTTTAAAAGCCAATAAATGGAAATAGCCCAAATATTCCAAACCAGGAAAACAAGGAACACATTGCATGACATTTCTACAAAGGAAGACTCCTGAGCAGTGAAAAGGAACAACAGCTGGATATGGTCTCATGCTTGCAATCCTAGTACAGGGGTGCCAAGGTAGGAAGATCAGGAGCTAAGGGTCAGCCTGGGTTACACATCAGTTGGAGTCCAGCTTGAGCTACACAGAGAGATCTGTCTTAAAACACCTTTACGAAAGTAATTTTATGAATATGAAAAACAAATGAATCAATTTCATCCATGTTATTTTGAGGGAAAAACTATATATAGAAGGGCATAGCTGCACGGTTTTGTCTACATTAAGTTTTAAAACCCGAAAACTAAGCATTGCTGCTTCTTGGCTAGTTTGAGCTTGCTGGGCCAGGTGTGCAATCAGATGTGTTCACTGTTTGCCCTCCTCTCACCGGGTTCCTAAGCAGATGTGGGCCCAGCACTGTCCAGGTGCCCCTAGGTCTTTTATTGCTCTCGTGATGCCTCCTTTGAGGGCGGGGCCTGAGGCTGGATGTGGGGGTGGTATCTGTGCCCTCACTAGCCCACCTCGGAGGTGCGGCAATCCTGCCATGCTGCAGTGATTTCCCCGTGGGCGTCAGAGTTTGCTATTGGGTGAAGGTGATGGCCGCAAGAAGGATGAGGAAGCTGGGGGCAGGGATGAGGCTGACTCTGGTGGAGATGGGGAGCTTGCAGGGATGGGCTCCAGGAAAAATATGAGCCAGAGGATGGTCAGGAGGGCGGCAGGGGCTTTCCACACCCTGATCCCACAGGAAGTGACGTCTGTTGAGAAAAAGGAATAGGGCTGTCCTAAGAGAAAACTTGGGGTGGAATTTCATCAACTGTGAAAGGGAAGGAAGTGGAGGGATATGAAAAAAAAAAAAGATAATTACTAAGAGAAGCATAAGGAATGGGGACAGGAGAAATAAAGACCAGGAAGGGGAAGGAAAAAAAAAAACCAATTGTTACGAGATGTTAATATATATTTGGTTTTTTGAGAGACAAGGTCTCTCTCCATAGTCTTAGCTGTCCTGGACTTCGCTCTTGTAGACCACACTGGCTTCCAACTCACAGAGATCCTCTTGCCTCTGCCTCCCTAGTGCTGGTATTAAAGGTGTGCACCACATGCCTGGTTGATAGTAATAAATATTAAAAATAAATTTCACTAGTAGAGAGAAAAATCAGCAAAGAAACCGGAGAAAGAGTGTTTGCACAGAAAGGCAAAGGGAAAGTATTAAGTGTGAGAAAAACAGCTGAGGGGAGGGAGACGAAAGGAGAAAAAAACGAACAATTACAAATCAAGCTGAGGAGGAAAGGGAAAGTGGGGGAGCTAGGGATGGCTGGAGAACGCCATACCTTAAACTAAACCAAGCTACCACTAGCTACAGAAAGCCAACAGAAGGCTCACAGGTCTCCATCGTGGAACCCAGGTCCTGAACCAGTCTGTTGTTACAGAGTTTGAGACCCCACTAAAAAGAAAGACTCAATCTGGGTCCTAACTCACTAAATGTATTGATATTGCTAGCAGGACAAAAACCTCTGAACCAAAGGAGCCCGCCATGCAAAGGGGAGCGAGAGAAGGGTTTTTAAAAGTGTAAACCACAAGAAGACGCTGAGTATCTGCACACGCAAGCCAGGAGTTGTTCTGCTCTACCAAGTTGAGGCAGTCAAGGTAACCTCAAAACAGTCCTTGACTGTCTTCACAAGAAGGGTTCCAGAAGCCAGAAAGCAGTTAGTCATATCATAACAAGCAGATGGTCAGAGCTGTGCATTTCTGGGTGGAGTTAACTGGGTCAAGGTTACTGGGAACTCATCGTCAAGAGTCAGGAGACACAAATGGATAGTGAGCACCAAGATGGACACCTAGCATAAAATGGAGTTTCTTTAGCCATCACACTGTCACACTCTGTTCCACAAAAGCCCATCCATATGGCCCTTCCCAAAGAAACCAAGGATCTGTCAGAAAGAACACCGAAGTCATCATCACCTCTGATGGTTTCATAAGGACACAGCGACCTTTGCCTTGAAACTGGGCAGAGTTCAGAGACACTGTGTGGGGAAAATAGCATTTCTTTACCTGGAGTTAAAAATCAGAGTTATAAAAAAAATCCTGCTCAATTGTGTGATGATTGACAAGCCCCGGCTTTTGTCTTAGTGTTCACATTATCCTTAGAGGGTCACTGAGGATATTTTCTATGTTTGGTTTTTATAAACGTTTTAAGGTTGATTCTGGCATGTTGCAAGGACGACTAGCAACTGTGTTTGTATTTATCTTATAATAAATTATGCTATCACAACAAAACTAACAGTTTTATTTTTTTTTAACAAAACAAAAACTAACGATAAATCTAGTCCCTGGTGGTAGAAACCGAAAGAGTGGTTATCTGGGGACAGGTGTGATGGAGGTGGGCTTAATGGAAGAGGAACCAGCACGATGGTTAGAAATGCACACGTGGGTGAAATAGTCAAAATAGCCCAAATATTGCAAAACTCGCCATTTTGCATGAAAAGGATGGAGGAACCTAAGAAAGCTTACAGCTTGTAGATGTAGAGGTGATACCTAAGATTTGATCCCAGGATGGCCCTTTGCTCTGGCTGCCTGATGGTGACAATGGTTGCTTAGAACTCTGCCTCTCTAGACTACATGTGCTGCCCGCAACCCTTTAGTGTACCCAAAAGCTCAGACATCTGGCATGTGATCTGACATCTTTCTTTGCTTAGTCGGTGTCTATTTGTTTGGGAAAATCTTGTCTAGAACTTTCTTATTGGTTAGCAAGTGTATGGATCTTCTCTTACTTTAGCTCTTAGGTAGCTACTTTCATTTACTAGGAGTGGTTCATGAACAAATTGGTTTGACTAGTTAACGCCAATGACTTTTTTTTTTTATCTATAGAAAGGGCTGGGGGGGAGCAGGTATTCAGAGATACAATTTTGGCAAACCATGGAACTTTAGAGATTTTACATGTTTAGTGTATTGCTATTTCCTATTAATTATAACTCTCATTCCAAAAACCCTGTGCTAAGAGTGTCTGGCTATAAATGACCCCAAGATGATCATTCTCCTACTTAGCTTCAACTGTCAACTTGACACAGCCCAGAGTAACTTGAGAGGGTTTTAATTTGGGGATTGTCTCCATCAGATTGGCTGGTGGGCATGCCTATGGGGCATTTACTTGACTGCCAATTGATGTAGAATGGCCCAGGCTACTGTGGGTGATAACATCCCTAGGCAGGTAGGTCTGGGCTGTATAAGAAAGAGCAAGCAGTGCTCCTCTGTGGTTTCTGCTTCAAATTCCTGCCTTGATTTCCTGCATCAGAAGTTGATGATGGCCTACAACCTGAAAGATGAAACAAATCCATTTCCTTCAAACTGTTTTTGGTCATGGTTTATCACAGCTACCAAAAGCAAACTAGAACAGCCATTGTTTTTGTATATATGTCTAGGAAAGCTGAACAAGGAGGAGCATGTTCATTGTGTGGGGGGGGGCACATAAGCATGTAGGCCCAGCAGACTCAGCTGCACCACCTGGACCACACTCTCAACCAGTGAGCATTCCGTTACCTCCTTCTCTCGATTGAAGTTCTCAAAGACAGCACTGAAAGATTCAGTTATTCTCCTTTTTTCTTCTTCCGACTCTAACTCAAACTTTTTTGTTATCTTATGTTCTGTGGAGGAGAGAACAAAGCAGGTTTGTGTATAAAAACATGGGGAAAGCTGGCCAGACAGAAAGTCAGAATAACTGAAATTAGTAGCAGTTCCAGACTTGACTCAATCTGAAGACCTTTCAGCCAGGGCTGCATGCTCTGACCCTCAGCTGGGGGATGCTCAGCTGAAGAGATGCTTGGGGCAGGGTGAGCATCCTCCTCTGTGCAGGACAGTAGCCACATGGGATTCATTGGCAGTGTTCTTTAGTGTGTAGTTTAGTTTCTAGCTTCTGCTTGTTGCTCTGTTTCCTCTGCTGAAGTAATGAGTGTGCTTATTCTTGGGCGTTTTCTTCTTTAACGCTCTTAGCTAGCCAGATTGTTCATAATAAAAGTTTATGCCCAACACTGGGGCAGAGGTAGGCTCATTGTATTTAGGGCTGGAAGATCTGGCAGCAGAGCCCCAGGACCAAACAGGAGGAAGGGAAGAGCAAACACAAATTCCCTCGGTGTCCAGCTACAGGGATGGTGGGTGTCTCTGGGCTGACTGGGTAACTCCAGTGGGCTACATGATGTAAAGCTAACTGGGGTTGCACCCTGACTTAGTTTTTTTCTTTTCTTCAATGTGGAGCTCTTCTGGTGATGCAGTATCCCAGGAAAAGCCCTATACATATGTACCTCCATATCTCGTTCCAGCCTCAATTCCAGCATCCTCATGCTGCCAAGCCTGGGCAGTCCTTACTAGGAGAGCTGACTTTCCCAGAAACCTTTGTATTTAAGTGATTAATTGGATTTTAACCAATAAATGTACAATGAATGGAGCTGGCATAGACTTTGGAATAGGTGTGTAGAAGGCTCACACCTGTCTCAATTATTCCTCTAGACCCAGGGACAATTTCTTTTTTTTTTTTTTAAAGATTTTATTCA